TGCAATTTTTTTCCGAAATTTTTTTCAGCATGATGGGCACTGAAGTTTCAATTAATATTTCAATAATTGTAATTATTTCACGATTTCTCGAATTTCTTCAGATATAATCCAATTGCAATTTTTTAGATCACTTTTTGGTGCAAAGTAAAAAAATATTATCACCAATTTATGACCATTTTCTGTTGTTCAATTGCTGATCTTTTTCGAATATCTTTTTTTCCAAAATTTGAATTAATTTTTCTATTTTTGAAAAAAACTGTACCTCTGGTTTTTTTGCGAGTCCAAAGATCGTTGTTTGGTGAGTCCGTATCTCTGGGTTTTTTTCTCGCCTTCCCCTAATTTACAAGCGGTTGTAATTCACTGTGGCACCATGAGCTGGGTCAGCCTGCGTGCCTATAGGAAAAACGGCACCAGAGATCAACGAGAAGACCAAAATAAAATAAGTCCGTAATATTACAAATATTAGGTCTGTTTCAGTTTTTTTTCGACTTTTTTTTTGGATTGAGTCTAAATATGCAAATTATTCAGCATCTCTAATTTCGAAAATACGATTTTTAATTTTTTAAATTTTCAAAATTTCTTTTCATGATATCGGAGACACACTATCAAAACGATCAGGCAAAGCTGAATCTAACCAGACTTTTTTTTGATTTTTTTAACTCCAATTTTTAAGCAAATTGTATGCTGTATGCGCCTTTAATAGCGTCGAAAATTGCTACCAGTAAAAAAACTCTCGCAGTTTCGCGGGCAACGATGGTTTCGTTTTGGTTTTCTTCCTTTTTCTATTTCATGAAATTATTCATTTTTCTTCTTTCTGTTCCTCCTATTTATGTCAGTTCATTCGAATTTATCCTCTCACAAATTTTTTTGTCTCTTACAATTTTTTTCTCATCAAAGCTTTTCTGAAAAATATCCTTTTCAGAAGTAAAGTATAAAAAAATTTTTACATGTATTTTTAAAATTTGTGTGTTTAAAAAACTTGAATTCTGGTCGAAATTCATTTTATCAACAAGAACGACTTCAATTTCATTTTTTTCAAATATATAATAAAAAAATTGAGGAAATATTTACCGAGCAACCCTGAAAGTTCGAAAAAACAAATCAATGATAAAAAAATAGATAATTCATAGTTACAATATTTCTGGTTTTTTTGCGAGTCCAAAAATCGTTGTTTGTTGAGTCCGTATCTCTGGGTCTTTTTCTCGCCTTCCCCTAATTTACAAGCGGTTGTAATTCACTGTGGCACCATGAGCTGGGTCAGGCTGCGTGCCTATAGGAAAAATGAAATCAAAGATCAACGAGAATACCAAATCAAAATAAGTTACTAATTTTTCAAATATTAAGTCTGTTTCAGTTTTTTTCGACTTTTTTTTGAAATGAATCTGAATATGCAAATTATTCAGCTTTTTTTAATTTCAAAATGACGATTTTTAATTTTTTCTATTTTCGAAATTTCTTCTCATGGTTTCAGAGATACCTTATTGAATAGATCAGGCAAAGCTAAATTCAATGGGCCTTTTTCTGATTTTTTAACTCCAATTTTTAAGCAGAGGGCATACTGTATGCGCCTTTAATCCCGTCAAAATTGCTACCAGTAAAAATTCTCGTAGTTTTGCGGGCAATAATGGTTTCTTCTTGAATATCTCCCATTTAGCTCGTTTTGAGTTAATTTCTTAGTTTTTTTCATAGCTGCTTCTTTTTTTATTAATTTCAGTATATGCTTATTTATACTTTCGCTAGTTTTTCCTTACCTTTTACGAGTTTGTTTTTGCCAATTTAATTTTTGTAAAAACTCGTCTTCTTACGGTACATTCAAGCAAAGTCTGAAGTTTAAAAAATGTTTCTCTGAAAAAGATTTTTTAAAAATTTTCATAGACTAAAAAGTGTTTTCCAAATTTTCCTCACAAAGCAATCCATTTTGTCAAGCATTTTTTTGAGAAATCAAGAGTACTTTTGAGCCAAACATGACAATTTGTCTTAAAACTACTGATCTGATTTCGAGAATTTTTTTCTGAAAGTTTAGATATTTTCATTATTTGATTATTATAAAATTACATTAAGTCAAAACTACAATTTTTTAAATGTAATCTATCACGTCGATTTCGATTTTTTTAGGGACTTGTGCTGAGTAGAATAAACTATTCAAAGCCTTTTATGAAAATTTCCTGTTGTCCGACTGCCGAACTTGTTTCGAATATCTTTTACGAAATTTAGATAGGTTTTCTGTTCACGAAAAACTAAACTTCTGGTTTTTGCGAGTCCAAAGATCGTTGTTTGTTGAGTCCGTATCTCTGGGTCTTTTCTCGCCTTCCCCTAATTTACAAGCGGTTGTAATTCACTGTGGCACCATGAGCTGGGTCAGCCTGCTTGCCTATAGGAAAAATCACACCAAAGATCCAAAAAAAGACCCAAAAAAACTAGTTTGCATTATTCCCAATATCGAGTCTCTCTTAGACTTTTTTAATTTTCTTTTCAATAAAAATTCTGTATTCGGGAAGTATTCCGCGTCTTTTATTGCAAAAATAGGGAATTTATTTTTTCGATTATCGAAATTTCTTCTCGTGGTTTCAGAAATACACTATTGAATAGATCAGGCAAACCTGGATCTAATGAGATTTTTTCCGACCTCTAAATCCCAATTTTTAAGCAAAGGGAATACTGTATGCGCCTTTAATTGCGCCGAAATTGCTATTAGTAAAAAAATTCTCGCAGTTTCGCCGGCAACGAATTTATTTTTCAAATCTCTCACTTTTTTTCTTTTTTTAACTTTGTTACTTTTATTCTGTTTCTTCTTCTATTTATGTTAGTCATTTCAAAATTGTTTTGTTGAGAGTTTTTTTCACATATTTACAATTTTTCTCCTCATAGTGTAGAAAGTTTCATCAAGTTTTTCAAAACTGTGATAAGCTGTCTCATTTCAAAGTCTCTATTTTTGACTCTTTCTCACGCTTTCGTCCATTATTTCGACACTCTGAAACTTCTTTTTTTCATCTAAAAGTTCTACAATAACTTGAACTCATTTCCTGCCAATCCCAATGTTATTCGAAGACTTCATCTGAAAAGATTAGGATGGTTTTTTCTAAATTTTCTGACTAACTTTCAAAATCGGCCTCTCATAATTTTTTGTCTCGATTTTTTCTTGGATAAGATTTCTGATCTTGTTCAGAATTTTTATTGTGGAATAGAAAAATGTTTTTTTCCCTCATAGAGTTTTATTTCACACTCCTTGTTATTTCCATAAGGGTCAGTGGGCGTGTCGGTCCGGCAAGAACGACCTGAGCCAAATCAGGGAGCGTGTCTTAACTTCATTCTGCTGTCTTTGTTCTTACTAGAGCGGTCGGTCGAAGTTGGGCTCTCCAGCCTCTGTTAGGCTGAATGGCCCGATTTCCGCCACGTCTCAGCGTATTCTGCGTTGTTTTTCCACTTGGCCTCAATCTCTGTCTCTCATTTTATCCTTTTTATTCTAACTTTTATCTGAATATGTCAAAATACTTTTCAAACCTTCTTGTTTGAATTTGTCGGCGAACTTTCGAAATTCGACTTTTTTCAGTTTTTTTGACTGATTCCTGAGGCTTTTCATATAAAAGGCTTCTAATTTTGTTTAGAAGCAGGCTTAAGAATAGGAAGAATTTTTCTTTTTACTTTTTTAGTCCAAACCAGTCATTTTCAAATTTACCGGTCACTTTCAAAATCGACCTCCCACAACTTTTTTCCTCGACTGTTTCTTGAAGATTCTCTGTATTTAAGATTTCTGATCTTGTTCAGAATTTTTTTGTGGAATAGAAAGACGTTTTTTTCCCTCATAGAGTTTTATTTTACACTCCTTGTTATTTCCATAAGGGTCAGTGGGCGTGTCGGTTCAGCAAGAACGACCTCTGAGCCAAATCAAGGGGACACGCCCCCTTGATTTGGCTCAGAGGTCGTGTCTTCGATAACTTCATTTTGCTGTCGTTGTTTTGTCGTGAGCGATCGGTCGAAGTTGGGCTCTCCAGCCTCTCTTGGACTGGAAGGCCCGATTTCCGCCACGTCTCAGCGTATTCTGCGTTGTTTTTCTACTTGGCCTCAATCTCTCTTTTTATTTTGTAAAAATATCCTTTTCATTCTAAACTTTATCTAAATAAGTCAGAATGTTTTTCAAACCTTCTTGTTATTAATTTGTCGGCGAAATTTCGAACTTCGACTTTTTTTCAGTTTTTTCGACTGATCTCTGAAGCTTTTTATATAAAAGGCTTCTGAGTTTGTTTAGAAACAGACTTCAAATTGGAAAAAATTTTTCTTTTTATTTTCTCGATCCAAACCTCTCGTTTTCCTTCACAAGCGTTAGTATGCGTGTCAGACCAGTTATAATGAACTGAGCTAATAAAGTGGGCGTGTCTTTATTATCTTCATTCTACTGTCGTTGTTCTGTCGCGAGCGGTCGGTCGAAGTTGGGCTCTCCAGCCTCTCTTGGACTGGAAGGCCCGATTCCCGCTACGTTCAGGCGTATTTTGTCCTTTTATTCCACTCGGTCTCTTTTTTTTTTTTGGTCAGTTCCAAAAAAAGCAAGTTATTTCGTGTTTTCTGCTCTTGCACAAAAAATCCGCTTTTATTTTTTACTCTTCGTATATTTCAGGCCTTCTTTCTGAAACCAGGGTCTTCTCAATTTTTTACTGTTTTCATCGGTTCCCAAAATGACTCTTCTTTGTTATGAATCATAGAAAAGGCTCATTTTAGTATATAAATTTTGGATTAACCGGCAAAAATATATATGTGCAGAAAGGTAAAATAATTCAATTCAATAGTTTTGACTGATCATCCGTAAAGCGCATTTTCATGAGATTTTTGAGCTCAATAGTTGGAGTTTTTTTTGAACTGTTCTGTTTGGTGGTAAACGAATTCAAAGATTGAATAATCTAGGTTTCAATTTTTCAGTGTTTTCTGTTTGCTTCATTGCCATTTTTCTTTGCTTAAAAAATCAATTTTTTTTCAGCTCCAAGTTCGAAACTTCAACAAAAGCAAGGATGACAAGAAAGAGTCAGTTTTTTTTCTTGTTGAAGTGAAAAAATTGAAAATTTTCAGACGGACAAAAAGGCTTCCAACAGAAGACCTTCTCCTCCGCTCGTGAGTTTCTTTTTTTTTTGAAATTTGACTTGAGGCTTTAACTTCAAACTCGAAGAACTTTGATTACAAGTGAAATTTCAGGCCGGGTCAGCGAAACTCAGCGACAACAAGCCCAGCTAAGTGAGTATTTGTTTTTCGAACTTTTTTATTGGAAAAAAGTTTTTTAAACTTTATTAACGGTTCATTTTCAGACCAACGCCGTGGCGGTCCAGTCGTTCCCAGGAACGCACCCGTCGTTGCGCGAAACCAACCTGTCGTTGCCGGTAAGTTATCAAAATCATCACTGTCCCTATAAAATCCAAATTATCTACATTCGAGGTCTTTTGAAAAAATTTTCCAAAAGTTTCAAGCGTGCTTATTTTTGTGTTCTGTGCAGTTTGCCGGTTTTCCAAAAGTGAAATAGATACAAACTAGTTGAAAAGTGTTGAATCCTGAGATCCATAATTTTAAATTTCAAACTTTACTACTTTTCTTTGGATTGATGTTAGAATATTTTCAGCTGTACTTCCTGTTCGTGGAGGTGGCGCTCCGCGTGGAGGGAGAGCCGGCGCAGGCGGTCGTGGAGGAGCCCGTCGCAGTGCGCGTCTTGTCGCCCGTGCCCCAGCTGCTGCTGATGAACCAGCAGCCATTCATTTTGGTGATTTTTCAGGAAATCTCATCTTGAAAAAAAATACACTTTTTTCTGTAGCGCAAAAAATCTGGTGGGATATACAATTTCACGATAGGAAATAAGTATCCTATGGTTCAAACCTTTAGAAGGAGAGTTAACCCCAATTTTTCTGATACTGTTTTTTTCTATCTGAGATCAATGAAGATTTCATAAAAAGTTCCGTGGTTTTTTTCAAGGCAACAGTTTTTTTGCTGAACTTTCTATCAGACCTTTTTTTCGAGATATTAAATCAGTTAATTTTTTTAAAAAAATTCAGCCGAAGCCGTCGAACCGGAGCTTGTAAACCTCGAAGAAGGCGTCGCTGTGAACGGATCAGTGGAACCTGCCGAAGTTTCCATCATCAGCAGGCCTACGCCTGGCGAAAACATTGCCAGTAAGTCACTTTGAAGATTCCGCGCTAAAGTCAAACATTCTGGAGCATTCTTTCAAAAAGTTAGAAGTTTTAGATCAAAATGAATATTAATCAGATGAACTTTCATGAAATACGGAGTAAAAAAAACTCAATTAGTTTTGAAAAAGAGTGTATTCTTTGACGAGTTCTGATAAATATTTTTTTTTCAAGTCCACCAGTTTGATTCGAACTTTCGCTTTACAAGTTTCAGGCGTCGCCTCGCAGAAAGACAGCTCGGAGAACCTCACTTCATCGGGTCCAGTCATCAAGCGTCTGAAGGTGGACAAAGGCACTTCGCCCTTCGGTAGGTATTTCAACTTTACTGCAAAAAGTTTCTTGAGATCAACAATTCTTTGAAACTCCAATGATTCTTCGAAATTCCAATGACAAGATTCTGAAACTAGCTTTTTCAGTCTTGAAATGCATTTTTTTATCAGCTCCGCCAAGAAATCCCGCTTCTTTGGCTGTCCCAAATTCATCTGCAATGAATGAAGGCAACGTCGTTGTTCAACTGGCGCCCAACCAGCCAAGTAAGATTTTCTGAAAATTTCCTAAAAGAATAGATAAAGCTAAGATTTTCATGGATTTATTCTTTCTTTTTTTTTGCAGATCTGTGGACACCCCCTGAGTTCATTTTCCTCAATGGCCGCCGCTATCGTCTTGAATCGGTGGACGTCGGAATGGAGGAAGGTCCAACTGATGCGGCTGGAGCCGATCCGAACTCTTCCGCGATGAGTGCGTTTAAAAACATATTATTAACCAAAAAAGTATTTATTACGTCAGCCAGTCAGACTAAAATGATAGAACTGACAAAATGCTTTGATGCAGTTATTTGTGACTCCAAAACTATAAAAACTTTGAACACAACTTTCAAAAAATATGTTTGATCGAAATTTTTAGACTTTAAAGACTTTTGATGTTTTAAACTGATTTGAAAAGATTCAGGAACGGACGTCAACTCCTCTTACGTGGTTAGTCCGGCCGCCTCTCCAGCGACTCTTGCCATTTTGGCAGGTGAGTTGCTTCAAAATTATCAACAAGAATATTTCTTTTTTATTCAGTCATTCCCAAACTTCAAAACTTTTGGATAATCTCATGAAATTTTTGATTTTTTTCTAAAGAATTCCGGAAGTCTGTGAAACATTTTTTTCGAACATTTGATATTTTTTTGAAACTTCCGAGAAATTTTTGATAGAAAAATGTTTTCAGAAAGAGCCGCTTTCATCAACGCCGGAAACATTGTTGCTGATTCTCCTGCCGTCTCTTCTCAAGATCACCGCGCCGGAAACGATGTTGCTCCTTCACCTGCCGTTTCCTCTCAAGGCGGCAGGCTCAGTCAGGCCTCCCTGGCGACTGTCTCATGGTCGAGCCGTGAGTTTTTCAAATGTTTAATAATTATTCTGAATATGAAGTTGAAGATGTTTTCTTCTATTTTGAGAAGCGGTTTTGAACTTTCGGCATTTTTTCGAATTTCTTAGTTATTGTTTTAACTTTCATAGATTCAGGTACTGACGCAAGTTCCTCAAGAATCGATAGCCCGGCTGTGTCGTCTTCAACACTTGCCTCGATGGCAGGTGAGTTGCTTCGAAATTATCAACAAGAATATTTTCTTTTTTTATTCAATTATTCTTAAACTTTAAAAACTTTTTGGACAATTTCATGAAATTTTGACTTTTCTAGAGAATTTTGGAAAGCCTGTGAAACTTTTTTTGAACTTTTGGAACTTTTTGAAACATGAAAAATTCTTTTTGAGACTTCAAAATCTTGATAAATAATATTTTTCAGAAAGAGCCGCTTTCATCAACGCCAGGAACACTGTCGCTGATTCTCCTGCCGTCTCTTCTCAAGATCACCGCGCCGGAAACGATGTTGCTCCTTCACCTGCCGTTTCCTCTCAAGGCGGCAGGCTCAGTCAGGCCTCCCTGGCGACTGTCTCATGGTCGAGCCGTGAGTTTTTCAAATGTTTAATAATTATTCTGAATATGAAGTTGAAGATGTTTTCTCCTATTTTGAGAAGCGGTTTTGAACTTTCGGCATTTTTTCGAATTTCTTAGTTATTGTTTTTAACTTTCATAGATTCAGGTACTGACGCAAGTTCCTCAAGAATCGATAGCCCGGCTGTGTCGTCTTCAACACTTGCCTCGATGGCAGGTGAGTTGCTTCGAAATTATCAACAAGAATATTTTCTTTTTATTCAATTATTCTTAAACTTTAAAACTTTTGGACAATTTCATGAAATTTTGACTTTTCTAGAGAATTTTGGAAAGCCTGTGAAACTTTTTTGAACTTTTGGAACTTTTGAAACATGAAAATTCTTTTGAGACTTCAAAATCTTGATAAATAATATTTTTCAGAAAGAGCCGCTTTCATCAACGCCAGGAACACTGTCGCTGATTCTCCTGCCGTCTCTTCTCAAGATCACCGCGCCGGAAACGATGTTGCTCCTTCACCTGCCGTTTCCTCTCAAGGCGGCAGGCTCAGTCAGGCCTCCCTGGCGACTGTCTCATGGTCGAGCCGTGAGTTTTTCAAATGTTTAATAATTATTCTGAATATGAAGTTGAAGATGTTTTCTCCTATTTTGAGAAGCGGTTTTCAACTTTCGGCATTTTTTCGAATTTCTTAGTTATTGTTTTAACTTTCATAGATTCAGGTACTGACGCAAGTTCCTCAAGAATCGATAGCCCGGCTGTGTCGTCTTCAACACTTGCCTCGATGGCAGGTGAGTTGCTTCGAAATTATCAACAAGAATATTTTCTTTTTATTCAATTATTCTTAAACTTTAAAACTTTTGGACAATTTCATGAAATTTTGACTTTTCTAGAGAATTTTGGAAAGCCTGTGAAACTTTTTTGAACTTTTGGAACTTTTGAAACATGAAAATTCTTTTGAGACTTCAAAATCTTGATAAATAATATTTTCAGAAAGAGCCGCTTTCATCAACGCCAGGAACACTGTCGCTGATTCTCCTGCCGTCTCTTCTCAAGATCACCGCGCCGGAAACGATGTTGCTCCTTCACCTGCCGTTTCCTCTCAAGGCGGCAGGCTCAGTCAGGCCTCCCTGGCGACTGTCTCATGGTCGAGCCGTGAGTTTTTCAAATGTTTAATAATTATTCTGAATATGAAGTTGAAGATGTTTTCTCCTATTTTGAGAAGCGGTTTTGAACTTTCGGCATTTTTTCGAATTTCTTAGTTATTGTTTTAACTTTCATAGATTCAGGTACTGACGCAAGTTCCTCAAGAATCGATAGCCCGGCTGTGTCGTCTTCAACACTTGCCTCGATGGCAGGTGAGTTGCTTCGAAATTATCAACAAGAATATTTTCTTTTTTTATTCAATTATTCTTAAACTTTAAAAACTTTTGGACAATTTCATGAAATTTTGACTTTTCTAGAGAATTTTTGGAAAGCCTGTGAAACTTTTTTTGAACTTTTTGGAACTTTTTGAAACATGAAAATTCTTTTGAGACTTCAAAAATCTTGATAAATAATATTTTCAGAAAGAGCCGCTTTCATCAACGCCAGGAACACTGTCGCTGATTCTCCTGCCGTCTCTTCTCAAGATCACCGCGCCGGAAACGATGTTGCTCCTTCACCTGCCGTTTTCTCTCAAGGCGGCAGGCTCAGTCAGGCCTCCCTGGCGACTGTCCCATGGTCGAGCCGTGAGTTTTTCAAATTTTCATGTTTTAGTCAAAGTATGATGTTAGAGATCTTTTGTTTTATTTAGAGTAGTCATTTGAATTTTCGGCACTTTTTTCGAATTTCTCAGTTTTTGTTATAATTTACAAAGATTCAGGAACTGACGCGATTACGGCAGGAGTGAATAGCCCAGCTTTGTCGTCTTCAACTCTTGGGCTCATGACTGGTGTCTCTCCAAACATGCCGCGAGCTGTGGACTTGAACACCTCCGAACTTCGCTCGCCTCATTTCGACTGTCAGTTTTGTTCGCAACTATTTCTTTCTTCAATGCGAAAATCTTCTCGAAAATTTTCACACGTAACATTTTATTGAATTGGGGACACCAAACTCAATTTCAGTCTCGAACATCAGCACTGTCGATGTCGCCATTGGCAGGAACATGTCGGATGACCGCGAAAGAACCGCTTCTTCTGGTTAGTTTCACTCCGATCGTTAATTATTTCCTTAACCTCAGCTCTTATGAGTTGTTTCAGATTGATAAGAAAAAAGTAATTTTTGGAATTTAGAAAGAGACGTCAGCGTGAGTGTCACCGTCAATGCCTACGACCTGGAACTGGACAACTCGGTCGGATCAGTTGCCGACGGCTCTCGGACCGCCGGCAGGCCCAGCCAGTTGTCTTTGACTCATTCGATCGGTGAGTTACCCGAAAATTCTAACATTCGAAAGCAGCAGATCTTCGGAAGTTCAGTTTTTTTCTAAAATTTCCCGCAATAAGTCAAATCGAGTTGCCTAATAACTTCGACTTCTTCTTCTTGATTTTGCAAAAGAAAGTTCTCTCTTCATTTGTCCTGGCCATATTTTGGTTTGAATGTAAAAACATTTGAAACAGTTGGAGCAAATCAAACTTTCAGCTTCAGATGAGCCGACTGGTGAACCAACGATTGCCGCTGAGGTTCTGAATCATCGGCATATTGGTTTGTCTTTTTTTCATTTTAAGGCTGCTACTTGAAGATGAGACCGTTTCTCGGATTGTAGTTCTGAATTCGATTTTCATTGTTTCTTGAAGGAATTATCTTTATTCAGTTGATGACTATTTTTCAGAGCCAACTCCGGATCCCAATGCGCCGAAGCCGATGCCGACGTTTGAAGTTTTTTCTGAGAGGGAGCCACGGGATTTTACGATTCTCCATAATCGAGGTATTTTTTTATTTAATAATAGAATCCCGTCATACTTCTTTAACTTCGTGGGCTTTCCAAAAAAAAGAGGAAAATTTCATCTTTCTTTATCTTTGCGACTTTCAGATTGTCCATTTTTTTTTCCACTTTGCTAATTCAAAAAATTTGATTTTTCAGCCAATGAGATTGAAATTGGAACCGGCGTCGAGGAACTCCAATCTCCGGGATCGCGCCGTCGCTCTCCGTTGAATCCGACCCTCGGTGAGTGTTTTTTCTCACTATTCAGCTGTATATTTCTATCTAAAGAATTAGAGAACAAATCTTATCCCTAAAAAAATCATTTTTTTCTTTTTATCAGTAAGTTCGAGCTGTGACGCTTTGAAATGAACGGAGCGAGTGGCAAAATTTGATGTAGACTTTTGAAGAACGTTTAAAAAATTATGTAAAGAGCTTCTTTTGTATAAGCGTGACCACAACGAGTTTTTCAGAACAGCTTCATTTTTTTATCCTCACTTTTTGTTTTTTTCAAAATCTCAAGGCTTTAAAAAAATTTTTTTGATTTTGAAATAAGAAACCTTGATTCCACCTTGAAAAATTTCCTACAGGTATGACTCCTACGGCTTCCGAACTTCTCCACTCTGTGCGTCTTCCCTTGACTTCGCCGACTGAACATCTCGACAACTCTGCCGGCGTTGAGGTATTTATTAAAAATTTTAGTACCTGAATGAGTTTTTTTAAAAATCAAAATGAAATTAAAAAAATATTTTGGCTTGAAAAATTTAAAATTATCTTTCATTTTGGATTTTTCAGACAAATGGCAAAAGAAACCAGTGCTCAGGGATGACTCTCTGATCAACATCAACAGCGCTGACGGTTCGGCTTCTCCACCTGCCGTCGTCGGCCACGGCGTCGGCCGGCTCAGTTCGAGCGTTGTTTCCAATGCTACTCGTAAGTTCCTTGATAATTTCAGCGAAACTTTTTTCGAAAAAAGATATGGATCACGTTTCAATACTCAGAGCTCCTGTTGTTTTTTTGTGATTTTGGGATGAAAACTTCATTATTTCGTAAACCGAAAACTACAAAAAATGGAAAGATAGATTTACACTTACTGTTCTTCTGACATTCACGAATTTTGAAACGTTTTTCAAACGTCGAAATTTCAGAAGACACTTCGGCGACTGCTTCGTCTGTTGGCATGAGCGCTTCTCCTTCGGCTGACGCCTCGAACGACGACAAGGTATCCCAATTTACGCTAAAAAATCTGAATTCCATATCTAACAAAAATCTTTTCTTTTGAACTCTAAAAAAATAACTTTTCTCCAAAATTTTAAAGAAAAACCAACGGCTTTTCTTCTCAGAAACCTTTCTACTATAATTAATTTCCAACCAAGAAAAAAGTTTTCAATCTTCAAAGTTTTCCATTAAGTCATTAATGTTTTTCAGGAGGATGCTGAAATCGGCAATTCGACCGACACGGACAAGGTAAAATATCTCGATTTTTGTCATTTCTAATTTGAATTTTTCAGGCCGACTGAGTCTTGCCTCTTCTTCATTTTCTAAAGCAATTCTTTATTTTCCCCGTGTTTCTGTATTACGTGTCTATTATTCAAGCGTATGCTTGCCGGTCCTTTGTCTTTTTTATAAAATTTCAAAAAAAAAGATTCTGAATAACAGCACTTGAAAAAAACACAATGTCCAAACAACAAGAAAAAGCGGACAAAAAAGGAAAAAGATCTCTCAGCAAACTCTTCTCGATTTTCTTCGGATCAGGCCTGTCTCTGAACTTCATCTCAACGTCTTGAAGATTTTCCGAACTGTCGATAAATGCGATAAATTGACGAGTTTTCCGTCGAATTTGGAAATCGAGCGGAATAAAACTCAAAAAAAAAAAGATATTACTCGAAAATTTCCTGACGCGCAGTGAATATCTAAAGGAACCTAGGTGCAGTTTTAATTTGTAATCTCGTTACTTTGAAAAATAAAAATGGAGCTAGATAACCGGACGAAGCAGATAATTTTGGCTTGTGGATAAGGAACGTAATGTTTATTTTTGCTTGACTACTTCAGTCTATACTGTCTATAAATCAAGTATCAAAGATTCTTAAACAGTCGCGAAAATGGTCTCGGAGTACCTTGTTTTTTTCGTGTTTTTTTCGATGATTACTTGAACAAGGGCAATCCGAAGAGGAGAGTGTGACATGCCGGCATCAGTATTGCCTCTGTGAAAGTCGTCTAGAATTCCACGTTCTTCAAATATTGCTGTGACTGTCGGTACAATTCAAAAACGGGTCCCTGGTGCTGACGTCGTCAAAAGGTATAAAAATGGTTATCTTCATTTCACGAATTACTTCATGATATATATTAATCATGTTGGATCATTACTAATAGCTCCAGGCCAATCAATTAATTTTGGTGGGGGGCTTAATCAAAGTTGGGGGGGCTATACCTTGTTCTAGAATGCCCCCCCTGCTGCCAAGTGGGGGACAATTCTAGAACGCCTAGCCAGTCTCCAAAAAAATGGCCCTTCGTTTATAAAGTTTTTCTAAAAATAAAAAAATATGTACTGTGCTATATTTATTTTTATTCAATAAATACCAAACAGAACTTTTATAAAAACATCACATTTGTCATATTCTAGTGAAAACTACACACATGAAAATGAAACATATGAACAAATAAAAAACGAAAAAAATATGATTTAATTTTGAAAAAAACTCTCAAACAAAATATAAAAAGGGGGAGAGGAAGCTCGTTTGTACGGGCCTGTGGGGGTTATTTGCTACAAGGGGCCATTCTGGAATAATCCTCTAGGTCCAACGCCTATCATCTCAAAAAAACTTGTACACAAATATTTCAAGAAGATCTGCCTGTTGAAAACTTTCAAGACCCATATTTTCTTTTACGTAGTATTTCCTTATTAGAGTTTTATCGCGTAAAACTCGGCAAATTTAATTGGCAATACATTTTATCAAATAGAGGGTAGGCTCTTAAGAAATTTGTTCTCATTAATGGCAATAGATGGTATAGGGCATGATCAATTGAGTTTTCAATCCGGTCCCATTTTCGAAATAGTGCACCTTGTCGAGCACTTTCAAAATTCGCCACAAATGTTCTCCAATTCGCTGTCATGCAATGTCTCTGAAATTAAAAATTCGATCAAATAAAACCGTTACGAAATTCATTTTTGTAGATATACTGAGGTGAGAATTTTTTAACACAATTTGGATATAAACAGCAAATTATTCAACTTACCACAGTAATTCTGTCTTTGTCCTTTCTGCCAATTTCGTTCAACGTATCAGATTGAATTTTTGTTCCATTACAAAACAATACTTGAAAACGGGGATCGATGTTAAAAACCGAGCTGATTTTGTCCTTCAATTGAGAAACTTCCCCCTAAAAAATCAAAAATTTTAATGAAGGTAATAAAAAAAAACCTCGTCGTTACAAATCCATTCGAAACTTTGATGCAAGTGTCCGTCGTGATCACGGAGCTCGATGAACAATATCATGGCTTAAAAACCTAAAAATCATTTTTTAAAGCTAGTTGAAAGTAAAAAAGAAATGAAAAATGTAATATTGTAAAACCAAATTAATAGTGTTCTTTCTAAAGAATAGAATGCTCGATCAAAGAAGGAATGGTGGATAATGGCCGCTAAAAGGAAGAGGCTCAAAAAAGGCCACAGAAAGACAGCACAAAGACTCCCTTCATCGAGTCTTGAATATTTTCTGCACTGCCAAAGTCGGAAGTGCGAAAACGGGTTCAAAAAGGGAGTGACTGCAAAATGGCCGCTAAAAGGGTCTCTTTTTAAGGCCTTCATTGAACCTTTCATTCTTGGTGGGCTTAAAAGAGTCATAAAGGGGCGAAAAAAGGGAGAGGTCGCAAAAAGGGTGAAGAAAGAGTGAGGGTGCAAAAGGGTTCTGAAGTCTCTGCTATTGATGATTTCCGATTTTATTACTGTAGCATCTTTTGGTTCATACACAGTCACTTGTAAAAAAATTATTCTTAATTTAAAAAAATTGTATCAAAGGGTCCAAAAAAAGGATGGATAAAGGCCGATGAAAGGACGGAAAAAGCAGTAAAAAGGAAACTGCTGCCACCCGTTTAGGAATAATCAATGAAAACAGACTGATCCACAATGGACGCTCAAAGGGCTTATGCTGGTGGGACAGGTTATATGGGTGGCCCTGGGTGGCCCTGGGTGATAAGGGGTAATTTTCTGTTTTTTGTGTTTTTCGGTAGATTTTCAACAAAATTTTAAGCGTCGCCTGTTCCAGCAAGTTTTATGATGCCAGTTAATACTGCAACAAATCTATAAAATACTGAGCCAATAAAACTTACACTGTAAACATATTCGATTAATTCGAAAAAGAAAAAAAAAAGTAGGAGAGGTTATTAACAAATTCAAAATGAAGAAGAAAAGTGCATCGATATTCACGGATGGAAAATCCCGAAATCAATGCAAACTATACAGATGAAACGAAAGTCTATTTTCTATCCACAAACGTAAATGGGAGAATGAGATGGCAGTTTTTCGCTTTCTTTTGCGTTTCTGCTCACAGACGCGTCACTCTCATCACCCTTCCGCTCTAGCCAAACGTGTTCGCAATTCGAATGTCCGATAAAGGTTATTAACCAAATTGGAGCACTGAACAATTCTTAATTCCCGAAAGAAATCCGGTTATGTATTCTATTAGCACACATTCTCCGAGAAAATCGATGAACCGTTGACACCAAAAAATTCATGTTGCTTTTTTCGAGCTCATACTTGCACCACAACAATTACATAAATTTTAACAACTTTAAGGAAAAAAATTTTGACAGACTCCGCCCTTTTCGAGGATTACTGTAGCCCACATACAAAGAAATCTTATTTTTTTCTCCATGGTCCAAATCGGATGAAACATTTTTTTCAAACGAAAGCTAGTGTCAAATTCAACATTTTTTTGTACTAACTTTTTTTGAAAATCAAACTGTAAATATGGATTTTCCTAGAAAAATCGTGCATTTTTTCAGTTTTAGATGTTTTCTGAGGAAAGAACCCCCGATCTGTGAAATTCTATTTTTTTGAAGCGTCAAGTCTTTCTACTTTAGAAAAAAATAGTCCATATGTTCCAGTTTCAAGTGTGCCAGTTGACCTCCAACTCGTTGAACGCGTCCAACTCAAAGTTGGCCAAATCTTCAAAAATCTCCAACTTTTTTTCATAGTTGAAATCTCGGAAGTAGTTGGTTGTTTTTGATATTATTCAGAGTTATTTCAAGATTCACATTAGTTTCTTCACACTCCTTCTCGAAAAAAAAATTTTTGCTCATTTTTCTGAACTTTGAAGTTTGTGTTTTTGCCCTATTTTCGCTTTTACTCATCTTCTGAAAAATCGTACAAAGTTATACAGGAAGTGTACTTGTTTTTTATGAACTACAGGTAACACTGGTTAATATAAAAATTTTTTCGTGCTGGTCTTCCGACGGTCCCAGTATGTCATATTGCGGTCGAAGTTGACCGCCTCAAAATCTAATAAATTTGAAAAATTGCTAAAAACTTCATTTATTTTTTTCTAAATGAAAGAACAAATTTTTTTAAACGTAGGTTATGCCTATTTTTCGATGACTGAAACAATTTCGAAGACCAAAAAAACTTGATTTTTTCAGCATTGGAATCATTTCTGAAAGTTATAATGTGATTTTGAGCTACTAAATATCGAAAAATATCCGAATTCCAAGAGTGATGTTTACCGAAGTTTTAGAAATTCGCGAGGTTTTGCAGATTTTCTCTTCCTTCGAAATATCGAACTCAAAACTGATTGAGGCCAAGTTTTGCCTTTGATCCATTCACAAAATATTCACTTTTTACTGTACCCATTAAAGTGAAAACGAGCAAGTTTTACGGATTTTTAATTTGAATAAAAAAAGTAATATAATTTTTGAGAAATCTAAAAATTAAAAAAAAATTAAGTTTATTATTATGAAAGGGTTCATTATATTTTTTTATAATACAAACAATCGTAGTAAACGCACATCTTTTCTAAAAAAACTTCAAAAAAATTATTTTGTTAATAGCTTATATCTTTTTCCGTTCTGGATCCCAAAAAGACGAACTTCGTCGAGTTTCTCGCTCCTTTCCAAATTCACCGGGAAGGTCGACATTTTATGTTATTCATCGACGGTTCAAAAAATGTTCAAGACGTTGACATGAAGTTCAGAGACGAGCTTGATCCCAAGAAAGTCGAGAAAAGTTTGCTGAGAGATTTTTCTCCGTTTTTGTCCAGTTGTTCGTGTCATTTGGAAATTTTCTTTTATGAAGTGTAGCTTTTTAGAGTTTGACTTTTTTGAAATTTTTATTGAACAAAACAAAAAAATAAACAGGTTCCAAGAGTTACATCGAGAAAAGACCGGCAAGCAACAGCTTGAATAATAACCCAAATAGTACAGATAACACGGGGAAACAAAATGAAGAACTGCTTGGAGAGGAAGGAGAAGAGGCAAGACTTAGTCGGTCTGAAAAATTCAAATTAGAAATGACAAAAATCGAGATATTTTACCTTGTCCTGGCCGGTCGAATCGTCAGTATGAGCACCAGTCTGAAAAACATCAATGACTTAATGGGAAACTTTGAAGATCGAGAACTTTTTTATGGTTGAAATAAATTATAGTAGAAAGGTTTCTGAGAAGAAAAAGCCGTTGGTTTTTTTCTTTTAAATTTTTGGAGAAAGGTTTTTTTAAAGTTCAAAAGAAAAAAATTCTTGTTAGATATGAAATTCAAATTTTTTTAGCGTAAAATGTATTACCTTGACGTCGTTGGAGTCCTCAGCCGAAGGAGAAGCGCTCATGCGGACAGGCGAAGTCGGAGCAGTCGCCGAGGGGTCGAGATCTGGAATTTCGACCTTTGGGAAACCTTTGAAAATTTGTGAATGTCAGAAGAACAGTAAGTGATAATCTATCTTTTCATTTTTTGTAGTTTTCGGTTTACAAAATAATGAACTTCTCATTCCAAAATCACAGAAAAACAACAGGAGCTCTGAGTATTGAAACGTGATCCATATCTTTTTTCGAAAAAAGTTTCGCTGAAATTATCAAGGAACTTACGAGTAGCATTGGAAACAACGCTCGAACTGAGCCGGCCGACGCCGTGGCCGACGACGGCAGGTGGAGAAGCCGAACCGTCAGCGCTGTTGATGTTGACCAGAGAATCATCCCGAGCACTGGTATCTCCGTCACTGGTCTGAAAAAGATTGAAAATGAAAGATGATATTCAGAATAATCAAATTATTCAAGAATATTTGTTCATCGATCAGTTTTGATTTAAAAAAAAACTCTTGTCGAGTTTGGATCTCAAAATTTTTTAGATTTCGAAACCAATTTTCAAGGAATACCTCGACGTTCGCAGACTCGTCGAGATGTCCGGTCGGCGACGTCAAGGGAATTCTCACGGTGTGGAGAAGTTCGGAAGCCGTGGGGCTCATACCTGCAGGAAATTTTCAAGATTGAATCAAGGCTTCTTATTTTTAAGTCAAAACTTTTTACAGCTCAGAGATTTTGAAAAAAACTTGGGGATAAAAATAAAGCCGGTTTGAAGACTCGATGAAGTTAGCTTTTACAGAAGAAGCTTTTTGTATAATTTTTTGACCGCTTTTTGAAAGTCTTTATGTTTTTCTCTTGTTTGGATAATTTTCAAAGCAGCTCGAACTAGAGGGGGAATATTGATGAAGAAAAATATTCTATGACTTTTTTTAATAACCACTTTTTTTTCAAATGGTTTCGGCTAGGAATACAAAAGCAGAATAATGAAAAAAACTCACCAAAAAGTCGGATTGAGCGGCGAGCGACGGCGCAATCCCGGAGAGCGAAGTTCCTCGACCCCGGTTCCGATTTCAACATCATTCGCTGTAATATTTAGATTAGAAAAAAATTAAAAATTATTGAAAAACGGAAGCAGTTCTGAGTACAATCTAAGAGTCCCGAAGGTGGATGAATTTAGGATGAATTTCTCCTCGGTATTTTTATTATGAAAAAGCCAACGAATTTAGAGAAAAAAATGATGGGATTCTATTATTGAATAAAAAAATACCTCGATTATGGAGAATCGTAAAATCCCTTGGCTCCTGTTCGGAAAAAAACTTCGAATGTCGGCATCGGCTTCGGCGCATTGGGATCCGGAGTTGGCTCTGAAAAAAATAGTCCTCAATTGAATGAAGATAATTTCCTTCAAGAAGCAATGAAATATCGAATTCAGAACTACAATCCGAGAAACGGTCTCATCTTCAATTATCAGCCTCAAAATGAAAAAAAGACAAACCAATATGCGGATGGTTCGCAATGAATGCCGGAATCGTGGTTTCAGTCGTCGGGTCGACGGACGCTGAAAGTTAAGTTTGCTCAATATTTTTTTCATTCAAGTCAAAAAATTGCTAGACTGAATATAGAATGAAATCTTTTCTGAAAAATCAGGAAGACGGAAATCAGTAGAAGTATATATCCAAACCGTAGCAATTCAAGTCAAACTAGGGAAAACTTTGAGGGAAAAAATTTCCTTAATATCTATCGGTTTTGAATGTTAGAATTTTTGAGTAACTAACCAATCGCGTGGGTCGAAGACAACTGGCTGGGCCTGCCGGCGGCCCGAACGCCGTCGGCAACTGATCCGACCGAGTTGTCGAGTTCCAGGTCGACGGCATTGACGGTGAAACTCACGCTGACATCTCGTTCTAAATTCCGATGTTTATTTTTTCTTATCAGTCTGGAAATATCTCAGAAGAGCTGAAGTTGAAGAAAAAAACGATCGGAGTGAAACTAACCAGAAGACGCGGTTCTTTCGCGTTCATCCGACACGTTCCTGGCCATGGCGACATCGATAATGCTGATGTGTGAATCTGAAATTAAGATTGGTATTCCCAATTCAGAAAAATGTTTTTGAGAAGAATTTCGCCTTGAAGGAAAAACAAAAAAAGTTGCTAGCAAAACTGACAATCGAAATGAGGCGAGCGCAGTTCGGATGTATTCAAGTCCAGAGCCCGCGGCATCGTCGGAGGAACTGCTGGCATGTTTGAAGGAACTGTCGACATGTTCGGAGAGACACCGGTCATCAGCCCAAGAGTTGAAGACGACGCAGCCGGGCTCTCAATCCTCGTCGAATTTGCATCAGTCTCTGAATCTTCATAAGTTGGAAAGATATCTCAGAAGTTTGAAAAGTTTTTGACATTCTAGAAGAGATTCTGAAAACCTGGTTCATACTCAATACTCTCACACCCTAGTGCTCAATTCAAAAATGAATTACAATAAAAAAGAAACTCACGACTAGACCACGGCACAGTGGCCAGAGAAGCCTGGCTGAGCCTGCCGTGGTCCTGCGAGGCCACGGCAGGTGAGGAAGCAAAGCTATCATCGACGGTGCTGTTGGCGTCTGAAAACTTTCCAATAATGTTTTAAGATTCCCAGAAAAAAACTAATAATTTCAAAAGTTCAAAAACAATTCGATGGCTCTCAGAAATTCTCTAGCAGTGTTGAAACTGTAAACAAATCTTTGAAAGTATTTTAAAACTTTAAAGTAATACGAAAATCTTCAATTGTTGGCAAAGCTCAGTTTCTTGTTAATATTTTCCATTTGTCGAGTTAAAAAAAAACCATCCAACTCACGCGAACTCGGCAACTGCTCCGTGGTGGTTCCTGTGGTGTCAACTCCCTGGACAGGCGGTGCGCTCCAATCCAAAGTGTACCGGAAGCCGTAAAAGTAGATGTGCGGCGGAGGACCTTGTGGCACTAAAAATAAATCAGATGCATTTTTAGTTTACTTTTTTCACTTCAAGACTTTTTTTTATAATTTTTGGAAATCTTACCTGGTTGGTTGGGTGCCAAAACTGCGTGATAGTTTCTCTGTCGACGAACAGGAACCTCAGGTTGCTTGAAACCTTCACTTGGTTGCTGTGGATCAGCAACTTCTGCGGTAGCTGAAAGTTTCAGTGTTGAAATGAATTATGAAAAGTTGCAACATTTCAAAAAAATAATTTTGTTCGAAAGAAGAGAAAAATCTTTCCTGAACTCTTTTTTTGAATATAACTCCTAAAAACTCACCATTCGGTCCTTCAATTTTCTGTCGTTTAGTGACCGGCTCAGAGGAAGAGACGCTGTCCTGGCTTTGCGACTGGGAAACGGCTGAAACTTTTGTGTCATAAAAAAATATTTCGGTATTTAGGATTTTCAAAAAATGCATGGCTGTTTTCTCATCAAATGATGAAGTAAATTGTAACTTATACCGAAATCTGAGATTTTCGATTTGCACCTCGTTTTGTTTGAAGCGAGTTTTTTTGGGAGATATCATAACTTGAAATGATGAAATTTTGAGAAACTTACTGGAAATGTTCTCAGCAGTCGCCTGCCTGCCGACGGTAGGATCGTCAGCAGGATTCGCTGGTCGGAACGCGGCTACAATCTCGTCGAGATCCAAAAGCTCCTCTCCCTCGTCAGCTGAAATTTAAAAGTTGAGTAAAATTCAACATTTGGAAAGAAAAACTCAGAAATATTGTTTCGCAGAATGAAGCGATTTGGAAAAAAATCGTTTCCAAAGCATTTCTCAAGAAAAATCTTTATTCTCATTTCTAATGTTGCAGTCCTCTTTTTTTAATACCGATATAACTTCCTATTCAATCTTGATTAGTTAAAATTATCGAATTTTTTTGAGCCTTCCCAATTCTGAGAGGTTGAACCTAAATCTATCCCCATCTAAATATTTGCCAAAAATTTAAGGTTTGAAAAAAACGACAGTTTTTGTAACTAATGATATATTTTGATAGTACCGTCGAGATCGTAAAAAGCGACATGTCGAGCCGCAACTCGATCGCTTCGACGGAGACCGGCTCGAGCAGGACCGCCTCCACGTCCGCCTCTACCAGCTGAACCTGAAATTATTCTCATTCTGCTTGTAAAAAATCTTCAAGTTTATAAGCAACTCAAAACAAAGAATTTTTGTCTGTCATCTAAAGCTTCTGAAAATAAATTGTGATCCAAATAACGACTTACTGTCGATGAAGCTGGCCGGCTCATGTCTTGGAGCACCGCGGCCTCCTCGAACAGAAAGAGATGCGCCACGTCCAAGATTAGAGGCGCCTGAAAATAGATATTCGTATTTTGGAAGGAAACAAAGTAGACTTAATCAGTGGAAAACTATCAGTTACAATTTTGAGTTTGGCTTCACAGATTACGCGAAAAATATCCAAAAAAACATTTTTAAAAAATTTATAAGGACCTTCATAAGTTTTAAGATCTCACAAACAATTCATCAGCCAGATACATTATCTAAAACTAGAAATGTTATAAAATAACTAGTGTTCATCATCTCATTATCGGAATCGGAAGACGTTCTGATAACAAACCAGCCAAGAGGTCTTGATGTCCCATCGGAGCAGCCACAGCCGGTTGAGCGGCAGGAAGTTGTTCGGCTAGAGCCTCACGACGAGGAGCAGGAACTGGAGCCTGAAGACGAACGACAGGCGCTTGAGCTTCTGGAAGAGGTGCAGGAGGTCGCTGTTGCTGTGGCCGGAGTCCACCGCGACGTGCTGACAATAAATCGTGTATTAAAGTCCAACTTCAAGAGGAAAATTTACCACGTTCGACTTGTTGACGGCGAGTATCGCTACGGCGACCTGAAATTTTCTTGAATGTTTTCAAATTTGTAACTGATTGAAAAAGAAAGTGTGAGCTATAATTGAAAATAAAATTACGATCGCTGGCGAAGGTCGACTTCGCGTATCCTTTCGGAGCATTGTCTGAAAGATTTTCATTAATTCAACAGCCGCAAAAAAACTTACTTCGTCCAGTCATTGCTTGTTTGAATGTTGGCAAGTCAAGTTCTGAAATAAAGAACTTTTTAGTAGCAATTAAAAAGTGAGAAGCGAGCTAAATATTTTAAACACCTAAAGATCAATAAAACTAGAAATTTTCGCAAAAAAATTTCGTAAATTTTGGTAACCGTAGATAAAAAAATAAGACTTTCCTATTTTTGATTGGTTCGAAAAATTTTCTACGTAGCTAGTGAAAATATTATCGAAAAGTTCTTTCAAAAACCGGTTTTCCGTTTTACGAAAAAAAGAAACTGCTTAATTTCGAATTTTTGATTTTTTTATCGATCTTTTTCGAAACCTACACAATACTAAAAACAAACTTGATTATTAAAAAAACGAATATTAGAAAAGATCAGACCCACTAGTTCTTCAGTTCTTCAAAAAGAGACGGATCAATTGAGATGAGGAAAATCAAGACCATTCAAATAGTTGGATTTTTTCTCCATGTAACAGTAAGATAAGCGCAAAACGAGGGCGTGGCAGAAATTGGGCCTTCCATTCGAAGAGAGATTGAGAAGCCCAACTTCAACCGACCGCTCCTGATAGAAAAACGACAGTAGAATGAAGATAACAAAGACACGCCTACTTTATTGACTAAGTTCGTTCTGGCTGGCCTGACACGCCCACTATCTCTTGTGAAGGAAAATGAGAGGTTTGGATCAAGAAAGTGAAAAGAAAAATATTTCCAATCTTGAAGTCTGCTTCTAAACAAACTTAGGAGCCTTTTATATAAAAAAAGCCTCAGGAATCAGTCAAAAAAACGGAAAAAAATTCGAATTTCGAAAGTTCGCCGACAAATTCATAACAAGAAAAATTTGAAAAAGTATTCCGACCTATTCAGATAAAATTTAGAATAAAAAAAGGATTTTTTACAAAATAAAAAGGAGAGACAGAGATTGAGCCGAAGTAGAATAAAAACGCAGAATACGCTGAGACGTGACGGAAATCGGGCCATCCAGCCCAACAGAGGCTGGAGAGCCCAACTTCGACCGACCGCTCAACGACAGAACAAAAGACAGCAAAATGAAGTTAAGACACGCCCCCTGATTTGGCTCAGAGGTCGTTCTTGCCGGACCAACACGCCCCCTGACCCTTATGGAAATAATGAGGAGTGTGAAATAAAACGCTGTAAGGGAAAAAACGTCTTCCTATTTTGCGATAAAGTTCTGAACAAGATCAGAAATCTTAAATACAGAGAATCCTCAAGAAACAGTCGAGAAAAAAGTTGTGAGAGGTCAATTTTGAAAGTTAACCCGGTAAATTCAAAAAAAAATGGCAAGAAAAAATATCATAAACTCTCTGGGTGGAACTTTGAAATAAATTTTGTTTTGTGAGAAAAAAAATTTCAAAGTTTCGAAATTATTGAAAACAGAGACTCTAAGTTGAGGCGGCTTCAAAAAAATAGGAAATTCTCATTTCATTGGAGTAAAAAAAGATTTTATTGGATTTTACAAAAATTTCAAGGTTTTTTTGAAATGAACTAAATTTGATCATGCAAAAAAACGGGTTTCTGAATTTTTTTCTCTCATATCAATATTTTCATATTCTCTCGAAAAAAACTTACAAAAAAATTTCTGTTTCACTTTTTGTCAAAAGCAAGAAAAATTATGAATTTGTTTTTTTGATATGAAAAAAACTACAAAAATTTTTGAAAGTTGTGATCAGAAAAAAATTAAAAAAACTACATGAAAGTCTTTTTTTAACTTTCCTCGGGCCAAAAAAATGACAACTTAGAAAAAAATTATGAGAAGAAACAGCTTGTAAAATATGTGGAAAAAAACTCTCAACAAAAACAATTTTGAATGGACTAGCATAAATAGAAGAAGAAACAAGATAAAGAAACAAAGTAAAAAGTGAGAGAGAAATTCGCAATTTTGGCGCAATTAAAGACGCATACAGTATGCCCTTTGTTTAAAAATTGGGATTTAAAGGTCGGGAAAAATCTTATTAAATTCAGTTTTTTTTATCGGTTCACTATTATACCTCTAAAACCACGAGAAAAAATTTCTTGATTAGGAAAAATCAAATTTTCTTATTTTTGTGATAAAAGAGGCCAAATAACTTTAAAATTTAGAAAAACTTTAAAACGAACATCAAAATGGTTGAAGACAGACTCGATATTGGTAAAATTGCAAACTAGTTTTGTTTGAGTCTTTTTTTGGCTCTTTGGTGTCATCTTTCCCATAGGCACGCAGGCTGACCCAGCTCATGGTGCCCCAGTGAATTACAACCGCTTGTAAATTAGAGGAAGGCGAGAAAAAACCCAGAGATTCGGACTCACTAAACAACGATCTTTGGACTCACAGTTTTTCGTAAACAGAAAACCTATTCAAATTTTGTAAAAGGTATTTGAAACAAGTTAGGCGATTGGAAAACAGAAAATTGTCATTAGTGACTGATAAAATTTTTGTTGATATAATGAATTTCGACCAAAGTTCGAGCATTATAAACACACAAATTCCAAAAATACATGTGAAGCTTTCTTATACTGAACTTCAAAAAAAGACTATTTTAGGAAAAATTTGATGAGAAAAAAACTTGTAAGAGGCAAAAAAACTTATGAAAAAGATGAATTCAAATAGACTGACATGAACAGAAGGTAGAGAAAGAAGAAAAGAAATAATTTCATGAAATAGAAAAGGAAGAGAATTAAAAGAAACTATCGTTGCCCGCGAAACTGCGAGAGTTTTTATTTGTAGCAATTTTGACGCTTTTAAAGCCGCATACAGTATACCCTTTACTTAAAAATTGGAGTTAAAAAAATCAGAAAAAGGCCCATTGAATTCAGCTTTGCCTGATCTATTCAATAAGGTATCTCTGAAACCATGAGAAAAAATTTTGAAAATCGAAAAAATTAAAATTCGTCATTTTGAAATAAAAAAAGCTAAATAATTTGCACATTCAGATTCATTCCAAAAAAAAAGTCGAAAAAAACTGAAACAGACCTAATATTTTGTAATATTACGGACTTATTTTTGATTTTGGTATTCTCGTTGATCTTTGGTTTCATTTTTTTCCTACAGGCACGCAGGCTGACCCAGCTCATGGTGCCACAGTGAATTACAACCGCTTGTAAATTAGGAGGAAGGCGAGAAAAAACTCAGAGATACGGACTCAACAAACAACGATCTTTGGACTCGCAAAAACCAGAGGTACAGTTTTTCGTAAATAGAAAACCTATTCAAATTTTGGAAAAAGATATTCGAAACAATTTCGTCGATTGAACAATAGGAAATTTTCATAAATGGCTGATAATATTTTTGACTGTCAACCAAAAATGTTCTTAGAAATCGCAATTGGATTAGATAGCGAATAAATATTTTTTTAGATAACTTTTTTCCTGAAGAAAATTGAGAAATGGATGAATATTCTCATTTATTGAAGTACTGATTGAAACTACAGTACCCATAATGCTGAAATTTTTCGGAAAACTTGCAAAGTTTATTTGAAATGATATTTTGTAGACGAATCAGTCATTTTCTGAAGCTTCTGTTTTTTTTTGATGATTTCAAAACGGTGAAGCTGAATTTTCATTTTACCAAATCTTCACTCTCAAAAAAAAAACTTTTCACTTAAAGTGGTTTCCAGCTCTAGGAAAGTTTTAAAAGACGTTTACCGTGTATCGGCCCATATTACTTATTCATGTAAAGTTTCACAGTAATCGGGGTTGATTGAAAAAAGTTATAGTCAAAAATATGGGTATTCGTATTTTTATGATCGGTATTGTATAAACTTCGGAAGTTGTGAAATCGATATAAACTCAATTTTATGATTATCTTAGCTTCTATTAATTCAGTGAAGGCTTCCGGAAATGATTTTTCCCGATAAAGATTCAAGACTTTCAATTTGTGCTTTTTTTCATGAAATTGAATCCTTGAAGATTTCAGTTTTTTTTGCTCTAGCTATCATGGTCTTCAAGACTTGCAAAAAAACGGTATTTTACTAATCTTACTCTGGCTTGTTATAGTCTAGTCAAATAACCCTGGGAGAATTTTGAAATACAATTCTTTTTACGAAGTCATGTTGGGAATAGGAAAGATTGGCTATCTTGTCGCTTTTCCAAATTTCCAAAAAGTCTTTTCTTAAAAATACTTAATGAAAAGCTTTTGCTGATAATATTACAAAAAGAAAAAATCAGCATGTTCGACAAAATACAACAAATCTGATAAAATAGATTTTCATGTAAGTGATTCCTTTCGAAAATTGAAAGTTGAAGACACTAGTCCTTTTTTTCACGCCAGCGTGTGTTTTGGGAGCTGCAGAAGGAGTCTCAGCTGATTTTCTACTTTTTCGATTTTCTCGGTTTTCCTGATCATTTCAAAGCGCAGTAAGAAAATTCCAAGGAAGTATTTTTCAAGGTGAGGATAGCAAAAATTGTTTTTGATTGGACTATTTATCACAATCAGGCGTCTGAATATTTCCCATCGACTGTTGGAACTACTTGAAGCTGCTGAAACGACTGATTCGATAGATGGATTTGATTTTTTTTTTTCGAAAAATTAGAGAATTTTTCATTTATGCAATAAAAGCAAAACAGTGAGGTTATTTGTGTCGGAAGAGACAACGCAAAGAACGCAAAATAACAGAAAAGTAGACCATTTTTCTTGAAGGCGCAAAGAAAATCTTAAACTCAGATCTTCCAGATTTTTTGATGATTTATAACAGATACGAGGCAAAAATAATTCTGAAAAAGTTTTTTTCAATCTCCTCTACAAATTTTCTCTTTTACAAATTTTTTTTGTTTAAGTTCAAATGCTTGCATAATCTGGATTCATTTCAATAGAGCCGATCCTTGATAAACTTGAAACTTTTTTTATTCCTTGATTTTGCTCATTCATCAATAAATGGAACCTAATTTCAAGTTGTGCAAAATTAAGAAAAAATGTACCTTTAATCGAGCTTTTTAGTGACTGTCTCGAGTCAATCCTTGACCATTTTCTGCCTTGTTCCGAGTCTCTCGGTGTTCATCTCGATCGATGA